GGCCAAAATGCCGCCGGCACCCCTCCTAGCCGTGTCAAGAAAGTCCATGGCGAAAGCAAGGAAATCCGGCAACGCTACATCAAAAGCAGAGGCAAACAGGGAGGTATCCAGGCAATGGGCAAGCACTGTGGGACACCACCCAAAAAGCCGCCTGGACGAGGCGCCTCATTCCAGACGTCCAGAGCAAGGGCATACAGCCCAGCGTGTGTGCACTGCCAGGCACCCGACGATGATGCTGAGTACACAGTGTTTGTCTGCCCCTTTTGGGACACCACCCGGCAGCAGCTTTCAACATGTTTGGGCCAACCGCCTGGTCCCGAGGATGTCGTGGATTTGCTGTGTCCACCACCACCTGATGATCTTCCCCCGGACAAACAGCATAGGGATAGAATCTTGACCGCAGCTCGCACAAACTCCAACCTTTTCCACGCCATGGTAGAGGAAATCATGAGCAGGAAGGAGGAGCTAGAAAGATGCAGACAAACGGCAGAGGCGGGTGCGGCACAATTAACACAAACTAACAAACATAGTTAAGCAACATCTTTGTAGGCTGAACTGGCCAAAACCTGGGTGGTTAGAGGCCCCCTTAAATTGTTATCCGTACCCTGACGAAAAACCTTTCGATGTGCCCCGTTAGTTTTAAGATGTTCTTATAATAAACGATGTGACCAGGGAGGCAGTAATGGGCCTCCCACTTCCCTCCCTGGCCACGATTCCAAAAAAAAAAAAAAAAAATAAGGTTAGAACCTAACCTAACATGGAAGTACCAGCAACACAAGTATGCTTATTAATTTTATTGACAAAATTATTAAGATATTAAGAATTAGTATTTTTTATAAAATCAATGACTTGGTGGGTTAAACTAAGCTAAGCTATTATAAAAGTTTTATTAATCTTAGAAGTTAGAACACTAAATTTGACTTTTAATATTAGTTATTTATAATTATAATTATATATTTTTTGTCTTTTAGGTTAGTGTTGAACGTAGCTTTTCTGCCTTAAAATTTATATTGTCAGACTTTAGAAGTTTAATTTCAAGTGATATATTAGAAGACATATTAATTATTAGAGGAAACAATTGTCACGGACCCGGCGAACCAGTGGTCTGAAATGCAATTTTAGGCGGACAAAATTATTTTATTTACAATATGCTTTCCTAATGTTGTTTAGTTAATGTTAATTAGTATAATTAAGGTAACAATGTATTAGAATTAAATAAATTACATTTTTTAATTACAATTAAATGATTTTTTTATAATTATTTATTCTGAATATTAATATTTATGGGCGGATTTTTTTATGGTTGGTAATAATGATATTGAATTTAATTATTAATACATTATTTTTGGAGTTGGAATATTTTTAAATGTAATATTATAGATGATTAATCTATATGTAAAATGTGATTTTTAATTACAAATGCGATTATAAAAATCAAATTCAATAATAATATTTAACAAAAAAATTTCATTCAGAGTCTGAACTACTCGTACTACAATTAATATCGGATTTTACATTAATAATTAATTTTTTAACGGCTTCATCAAATTCAACAATTTTTTTGTATGGAATTGATCGTAAGCTTGAAATATAAGGATCGGATGAAATCAGTAACATATGAATCAAATCTTCATTTTGACATGTTCTCGATATTTTTCTAGTATTATGCTCTCTAATTCTTTTAAAATCTTTATTTCTAGACTCTTGGGCCTCTTCTCACAACTGACCTATAAAAAATAAATTACGCGCTGTCCTACGTGAGCGAACTCAACGCGAACGCGGTGCAGCATATTTCGCGCGAAAACTCGAGCGATCCAACGTGGCGCGACGCGATGCGGTAACATTGTCCTACGTTCACCACTGATCTTCCGCGACGACCCGCGGTCGATCAGTCGGTCGAAAGTCGGCACTCGCGTACAAACTACAAACACAGTTTTGTCATTTAAAATTTTTTTTAACCTTACCTTGTTTAACCAACACACCAAGAAAGTAATAACATAATAATTAGTACATTGATCATGGACGTACGAAAAGGGTTTTTAATGGAAAATTCGTACCTTAAGTACAAATTCATGAAGAAACACCACCTACGACAAAGAAATGAAACCAACATTATTTATCTAGAAAGACATACTCATGGAGAATTTCACCATTTATATGAAGAACTGAAAAGTCAATCTTTGGTTTTTAAGGGATATGCTCGGATGTTACCCACAACTTTTGATTATATCGTTGACGCTATAAAACCTGCTCTGCAATTAAAACCTACTAATTTCCAGCAACCTATTTCAGTTGAAGAACGATTAATGGTTACTTTAACGTAAAAGACAATATTTATAATATACAGTAAAACCTCGATAACTCGAATCGATTTGGGGCAAAAATAAATCGAGTTATCGAAAAAAGTTTATGTAAAAGTTGAAGGGTCGGAGCCAAAATATTTCTTCGAAGTTCAAATTACCGATAATTCGACTTATAGTTGTTCCTGTTATCGTGGTTCCACTGTTATTAATTATAAGGTAAATTTATAAAGCAATCAAAATCTAAAATTAATTTATTTTTAATGTAAATGAAAAATGTAGAAATGTTATAAAAAAATTTTTTTTTGATTGTGATTGCCAAAAGTAATATACATTTAAACCAAACAAATTATTAAATCATAATTTTTATTTAAACTTCAAATTTTATAATTACTTCTTCTTGAAGTTTTAGATTATAAGGTTTCATAATCTTTAGGGAAAAATGAATTTTGTGGATCAAATTGTGGTACTTGTTGTTTATTTAAATTTGACAATTCCTTAAATAGCAGCTCCTGCATCTGTTTTCTAAAACGCAACTTATTTAATGATGGCAACTGTTTCATGTATGGTAACATCGATTTGAACCAAAGTAAGTCATCGTCATTGTCTTGTTGATCCAGCCGCAAAACTTGAATCTTCTCTCTCTCTAATTGAATAAATGCTTCTAATCCATCATCTTTAAGTTTTCGTTTTTGTGTTGTCGTAACAGCTGTTGTAGAGGACGAGGCTGAAGGGATGTTATAATTACGTCTTGCTTCAGTTTCATATTATGTTGTCATGGCTGACTCAGACCGTTCAAGTTCAAATTCCTGAAGTTGAGGGTCATCCCGAGAAGTACTATCATTTTGATCTTGTGTTATATTCGTGTCAAATTTGTCTACCAGACTAGCATATGTAGACTCAGAGGAATCCATTAAATAGCTTTCTGTTGATTCCTCTGGTTCAATAATATTTCCATCTTGTTTTCGGAGTTTTAAAATAACTTTTAAAAATGACAAGGATTCAAAATATGGCCAAGTTCCTGTGTACTCCGGTTCATTGTCGGCGTCAGCACCCGAATGAGGCTTGGAAATTTTTTTTTAATTCTTTCGCATAAGTATCCCTTACATTTTTCCATTTTTTTTGGCCCCATCAGCTGAAATAAAAAAGTATTGATACTCCAGATGATAACAATTAGGGTCGAAATGGTTAAATGTATATCAGGGCTTTAAATCGTAATTTATTGCGAAATATTTCTTTTTATAACTAAGATTTGAAATTTCAACACAAGATTCCCTATACCATGTGGTGCCCAGATAACTTTTTTCTTATCTACAAAATATTTGTTAGTTATAATAAAAAAAGGTTAATGAATGGCATTAAATTTGAATTCAATAATATAATATCATAGTATACAAAAAACGATTCTGAGCGAAGATGGTCAGTCAGTCTATAATATCTTACTAAGTGTATTAGATGATATTATTGTGAATAAAGTAATTAATTTTAATATTAGGCATTAGTCTACATGCAGTCTACATGCAGTTAGTTTAATTTATTTTTCCCAAAAAAAATTACATTTGAAAATGTCATTACGTGTATGTAAAATATAAAAATAAATATAACAATATAACAATATAATCTAAGAATTTCATATACCAACAAATAATATTTTTATTTTACAACAAAATAACTAAAATTGTTAACTTTGGTTTTAATGATGTGTAATTTCGTCCAAATTTGAATTTAAAATGTTTGTAAAAAATAACTTTGTAAATATTTTTTTTAGATTTTTTGGTTACAGTATGAACAATTTATGAGAATGATTTTTTTAAATTTTCAATTCTTAGTTATAAAATTTGAAAATTTTATTATTTTTTGACTACCATGATTCATAATTATCGTGATTTTGATAAATTTTGTAAAAATTCTAACTTTAAATGTTTACAAAAAAAATCGTGCCTATGTATTTTTAATATTTTTCAAATGCTATTGTAACAATATATCAGGAGGCTTATATTAATTTTCAAGCTTTTTTACTGAACAAAGAACATTTTATTGATATTTATAGAAAAAAAAACTAAAAAAAATGAAATTTGAATTTGTCCGTAAAAAGCTCAAAATAATTCAAAATATTCTCAAAATGTATGGTTTATATAAACTAAGAATATAAACTCAGTGAATTTTTCATGCATCTACAGTTATTCATTTTTGAAATACAACAAAATAAAAAAATCGCTACATGAGAAATCGAGTGAATATCAAATGTAAAAATATGAAATTCAAACGCTCATAAAAATTTATTTTGACTCACTATTAAATATTTTTATTTTTATTTTTTTTTTTTTTTTTTTTGATAAAAGTAGACAAACTTATGATAAATCTTGTAATACATTTTAAAATCTTAAATTTAAAAAGATATAATAATAATTTTATTAATTTCTAGCTCAAAATAATTTATAAACTAATGAGTCATTTTTACGAATTTTGACAAAATTTGACCTAACCTATCATTAATATAATAGTATTTATTTAATAAATCAATAAAATCGATGAAATTAAGTTACTTTGAAAACATATACTTATTATTATTTCAGATACTTAGCCACGGGCATACAATTCCGGCAACTCGCTTTCTCTATCAGAATTTAAAAATCGGCGATAGCCGCAATCGTTTCAGAAGTATGTAAAACTATATGGACAACATTACTATCGAAACACATGCCTGAACCAGCAGAAGATGATTTAAAAAAAATAGCGCAAGGTTTCTGGGACAGGTGGCAATTCCCCAACTGTTTAGGAAGTATTGACGGAAAACGCATACTTATAAAAAAACCAAGCAACTCCGGTTCCATGTATCATTGCTATAAATCTTTCTTTTCAATCGGGTTATTAGCTGTAACTGATGCAAATTATAAGTTTGTTATGGTGAGCGTGGGCTCCTATGGTAAAGAAAATGACGCAGGAGTTTTTGATGAATGCCCCTTTAGGCATGTTATAGAAACGGGACGACTAAAATTACCTACAGATGAATTATTGCTGGGCTCCAGTATCAAGACTCCTTATGTTCTCTTAGGGGATGCAGCATTTCCTCTAAAGAAATATTTAATGAGACCATTTCCGGAAAAAACAACAACTAAAGGCGATGCTAAAGATAATTATAACTATCGTTTATCTCGAGCAAGAATGGTGGTAGAATGTTCGTTTGGTTCTATAAACTCTAAATTCTGAATTCTGCAAAAACCTATCGAAACCAATGTAGAAAGCGCAGTCCATATTGTGAAAGCCATAACTTTGTTACACAACATCATACGTGATTTGGAATCAATAAATGACACTGAAGTTAGATTATTCCAGGATTCATACCGAAACACACCAAGAATACTACACAATTAGTTCACTTAAACCGCTAATTGATTCTTATCACCCACCATTGGATTTTATTTTATCCATTTCTACACCTGAATTTCTTTCCGAAACATCGTGTGCAGTTGTTTTTAATTTTAATGCATGTAATTATAATGATGTTAATCTGTTTCTTAATAGCATTGATCTAATGTCTAATTTGATAAATCTTAATGTCGATTTAGCGGTTCTTAAACTAAATGAAATTTTATCCCATTCGTTTGATATGTTTGTACCTAAAATCAAATTAAATTATTATGATTCGCGTAGTTTATATCGGTCCAATCCTATTTTGAGATATTTAATTAAACTAAAAAGACAGGCGCATAAAAAATATAAACTAATTCACATTCAGATTACATATTTTTTTCTAACTTACGTAGTAATTGTAAAAAATTGTCTTTTCAATTTCATGTAAATCATTTGTTAAAAATTTAAAATAATATTAATATCAACCCGAAGTCGTTTTGGAATTATATTAAATCTTTGAGATCTAATCGTTCTATTATTCCCCTTTCAGTATTTTTGGATAATATTTCTGCGAATAATATGGATGATACCATCAGGTTATTTGCTAAATATTTTTCATCAGTATACATAAGTGACACAACTAACACAACTAATATTATAGATGATTTCAATAATGATTTATTTCATAAACAGTTTCATAATTTTAATATAAATTCATTTATTATTTATGAACACGAAATTATAGACTTTATTGGTTCACTTAATGACAAGGCAAGTATTGGACCCGATGGAATTCCTACAATTTTTTTGAAAATGTGTTGTCGAACACTTGTTAAACCTTTACATTATTTATTTAATTTGTCTATCCAGTGGAACATTTCCGCTTTGTTGGAAAAAATCTTTCATTTCCAAAAATGTTTGAAGCCATTATTTCAAAAAAATTATCAAATTTACTGTGCAATAATATAAGCTCTTCTCAACATGGATTTGTACCAAAACATTCGATTCAAACTAATTTATTATTATATCATAATTATCTTGTAAAAGCTCTTGATCAAGGTTTCCAAGTAGGTACTATTTATACGGACTTTCAAAAGGCGTTTGATAAGGTGAATCATAATTTACTTTATCATAAATTAAAAAACTTTGGTATAGGTGGGAACTTTTTAAAATGGTTATTTTCGTATCTTTCTGATCGTACTCAAGTAATTAAAATTATGTCTTATGTTTCTGATGATTATTCTGTCTTATCAGGTGTCCCTCAGGGCAGCCATTTAGGTCCTTTACTATTTTTAATTTTTATTAATGATCTCCCACTAGTCCTTGATGGTTCTATAAACATTTTATTATTTGCGGATGATGCTAAGATTTTCTGTACATTTAATTCTTTAAGTGATGCTGAATCTCTTCTTAATAAATCTTAATAAATTTCAATTATGGAGTAAATTAAATTTATTACCGTTAAATATTGATAAATGTCATACGATAACATTTACACGTAAAAAAAATCCTATCTTTTTTAACTATAATATTGAAATGTTCTCTCACTAGAGTAAATGTAATCAAAGATCTTGGTATTTATTTTGAAAGTGATCTTTCTTTTAAAACGAACCATAATATGATAATTAATAAATCGTTTAAGATGTTAGGCTTTATTAATAGAAATACTAAAAATTTTATAAATCCGTTATGCTTAAAAACCTTGTATACATCTTTAGTTAGATCCAATATTGATTTCGGCTCCGTAATCTGGTCATGCAAATACTTGACATATATAAATGATTTTGACAATGTACAATATAAATTTTTAAAAAGGATTTCATACTTGTCAAATATTCCATTATCTAGGGACTCTCTCCATCTAACTCAAGATTATATTAGCCTTGTTTCTCTTTTACTTAGACGGAAATTAACTGATATTATGTTTGTCTATGATCTTATTAATTACAATATTGTGTGTCCCGAATTGTTGTCTGAAATCAGCTTTCGAATTCCATATCTAATAACACGTAATTCAGAGTTATTTTTAGTTCCTCATTATAAAACGAATAGTGGTACCAATTCTTTTTTCCCTCGAGCTTTAATGTTAGCTAATAGAATTTGTATACATTTAGACATATTTTTTCTCTCACGCGAATGTTTTAAATCTAAATCTATGTTATTATTAAAAAATATTGAGTGATTGATATGTAAAAAAAAAAAAAATGATTATAATGTAACTATAATTTTTAGTTTATTACTTTTAATTCAGAGTTATTTTTTATATTATTTTATCTGTTTTTTGTTAGGTTTTACTACACTTATTTAGTTTTTAGTTTTTATCTGATACGTTTCCTTTATATAATTTGTATAAGGGTATATACCCGTTGATATAAAACATAAAAAAAAAAAAAAAACATAAAAATGATTTTCAAAAAAGACTTAATGCTTCATCACGTGCAGCTACGCAAGTGAGAGAAAATTTTAAATTGTATTATGAACAACATCCCATACAAAGAATGTAAATAATTATGTTTGAATAAAAATATGTCATATGTTCTTACATGTGTTAATAATTATTTTAGCAACTTCCTCCCATTCGCGGTGTGCTAATAATCTCTTATGATAATTCTTACACCTCTTGTCCCACAACGCAGGGCGTTCTTGGACAGCACTGATCAAATTTTCAGGCATTATAATGTTAATAGCAATAGAAAATTGAAAATGAAAATTATTGGACTGGTGTTCGTGATGGTCCATAAAATAATAATATAAAATAAAATAAGTTGTCATATAAAATATCGTCGGATTATTATATGTCATTACTCGTTTAAACATGTTCCGACACGTTCAGACGCGACTATACGCGCAAAAATATCAAACTATTTGATCGCGATCGCATCGCGCCGCAACACATCGCTTCCGCTTTGAGTGCGTTTGACCACGTATGCCACTTTCAGCGAAGGCAATTGTTTGTAATTTTCGCGTCGCATCGCGTTCGCGTTGAGTTCGCTCACGTAGGACCCCGGTTAGAATTCAATACATACATAATTTATTATTTATGGTTAGTGATTACCTATAGATACCAGTGAATTGCTTATCACATCAACTCCATGAATCAAGATTCTATGCACGCTCGCAGGCATGTAGTACCACGGATATAAAGAAATATACAGTTCTGCAGTTTTAAGTGCATACATTTCGAATTCATCTAGATTTCATATAATTTAGTATCCCCATGCAAGTGCTCTCAATATAACATCGAATCGTTTTATAATTTCTAAGTCTAATTCTGTTAATCGGCTGATTTTTCTGCATTTTTTAAAAAATCGGCATGCAGTGTTTCCGTCATTTGTAGTTCCACTACCTATTTTTTATAATATTTTAATATTTAATATTTTTATGTTTATAAATATTGAGTATAAAATACTATAATGTATAAATTATAAATAAAACACGTATAATATAATTTACTAAAATAATTTCGACTTTTGACTACTACCCTGTAGAACAACATCTATCAGTAATCCGGTTTCAATTCGAAAACGATCTTGAATATATTTTTTTCGTTTGGAAAAACTTAAATTTTGTTCAGGTGTTCTAACTTGAAAAATAAAACACATATTCATTATTATCGGTATTTTAGAGGCTGCAAAAATATACGAAAATGATCTTCCGTTAAATGCAATTGTTACATTACAGGCTGAATTGTGTATATGGCAAAATCAATGGAAAAACAATGGACAAAATAGCACATTGAATAAACCTCAAACCACTATTGAAACTTTACCTTACTGTACATATATTGTGCCTAATATAAAATTGCTTTTACAAATATTCACATAATAATTTATTATTATTAATATTATTATTATAACCCCTGGGCGCCCGTTCCCCATATTTGTGTACTTAAAATAATTATTTCTTAGTCGTAAGATGGTGCTATTCGGCCCGTCATATACTAGAAAAAAAAATTGTATTATTTTTTATTATTTGTCACTACGCCAAAGTCACCCTTTCCCAACCCGACGAGAGTCGTTGCCACCGACCGCTGACACGCAGGAGCGGCTTCGACGGAGAACATTTGGTAGCAGAGCGTGGTTTTCTTTAGTTTTTTTTTGTTCTTTTTTTTGGGAAAGTTCGTTGATCATTGTGGCAGGAGAAATCGATCCATAATTATAAATGTATTTGAGTACCTTATCAGTAGTTGGTGCAACAACTTGGGAACATAATTTGGGAGTCCAAGCAGTTGGGATTACTTTATGTTATATTAAGTTATATTACCACTCGAACGTAGTTATCGCCGATATTGTTTGTTAGTTATATCAATACGATATTGATTAATATTACTTTGTAGGGAATATTGTGTTACATACGGTTGTTATCATAATTTACTATGTCGGAGGATAAAGAAAGCGAGCGTTTAGGTCGACTAAAAGCACGCGCTATAATTAAATGGTCTTCCGTCATATCGATAATTCGCTCCATTAACTTTTTGGCAGCACGCACATCTACCGAGCCCGAGTTAATACCCGAGTTTTTATCGGTCGTACTTGACTTGGATACGTTATGGGCACAATCTAAATCTGAAGATGAGTCAGTCTTAGATTATTTGATAGGTATGAATAGAGAGGACGACTATTCGCCGGACTTCATGGCTGAGGTGCGAGCGTTAATTCATTCATCAAAAGCAATCGCGACAAAATTAGCTCCAACGGGGGTCGTTATGAATTATCGGTCAAATGATACCGGCAGTGTCAATTACCAAAGTTCCTACACGCATTAACCATTGTCGCGTCTTCCTGAAATTCCATTGCCCCAGTTCGACGGGGATTTTCGGTATGAGCCGACCTTCCGCGACTGGTTCGTGGCACTGG